AGTATCTTGAACCTGTTCAGTGTTTACTTTATGGCTGGAGTTGGAACACCTGGAGGTGGTCCTTTAGTCAAATACCTACGACTAGGAGGAGGTGAGTTGAGGAGAAAAACAGTTCTACCTTTCCAAAACTCGTCCTGTCTAGTATTTGGTTCTGACAAGTTCTTGAAGTCAAAGTCCACGATCTTGTCTGTCTTACTTTGTCCATAGTCCAGGTAAGTGGTTCGAACTCCTGAGAGTTGGTTCAGTTCAACAGGACATCCAGGACCAGGAGTAAACAGACTTCTTCTTGGCCGTTTGTGAATTCTCACCAATTTGTAGTTTGCTTCATCGAGTTGCCATTCATCAACATGATAGTACTTTGGCTTAATAGTTCCAATGAGGGATTCCAATTTTTCAAGTGGATCATCTTGAGTCACAACCGTACTCTCTTCGGTAGTGATATGACTCAATTCAGTGGAAAGTTCTCTCATGTGTTCTTCGAAGTGCGCAGTGAGTTCTGGTGGAACATTGGAGAATGGTTCAAGTGATGGTGTCAGGTACAGCAAAGTGCCGTGTCGAGTGATTGAAATTTTCTCGCCTTCAGGAGTCAGTAACATCAAACAGTCCTTTCCAAGAACAGTCCAAAAACCTTGCAAAACCATTCTTGCAACAGAAACCAAACAAAAAGGCACATCGCATACATAATAGTTAACATTCAAGTATACACCGTCACAGTTGTACCGAACTAGTCTGCGTCCGTATATTGTCAGTGGTTTTCCAGTCACACTTCTCAACTTGGGAGGATTCTCACCTAGTGGAAGGAGAGGATAGTCAGAGGCATAGTTCGCAGGACAACAGTGAGCAGCAGCTCCAGAGTCAAACAAGACCCAATGCTCTTGAAGTGAGAGTGAGGCTAAACAAGTCTCATGAAACAAATCCAAAACATCTGAGGCATCTGAAGATTGAGAGTCCAGTGACAGTCCTTCAGATCTACCAAACATGCTCAAAACAGCAACAGTACCCAAAAGTGCTCCGGCAGTACCTAACTTCGAAGTTCTTCGAACAGTACTCCTGTTGGTCAAAGTCGAGCCAGTGCTTTGCAGGCTCTCTGGGTCGAAACTAACTGCAGAAACAGTAGCAGTGGGCGCAGACGGTTGAGCACCCGAAGCTAAGTTCTGAGTGGCCGGCTGTGAAACTAAGTTCGCGTCATTGGATCCAGTTGGGTGTCCGACAGTCTGAGTGTCTGGCCAATTCTGTTCATGCCAGTATCCAGTCCAGTCGTCACTCCAGTCAGTCCAGTCCGTCCAATCTGTCCAGTCCTCATAGCACTGATTCTCATACCACTCTTCAGTTACTGAACATAACCAGTCATTCCACTCTTCTTCAGTCCATTCTTCCTGAGTATCGTCAGTCACATAGTCAACTGCGTTCACCATCATCTTACAGTCTTTACTGAAGTGTCCGAAGTTACCACAGTTCCAGCATTTTTGTCTATCTCCTTTACCTTTGTCACCTTTGCCTTTGTAGTTCATTCCAGTCTTACCTTTCCTTTCATTTTTCCTTTTCCTTTCAGGGGGTACAGTCCTACTCTTCCCTTTCCTTTATGGCCAAAGGGGTACAGTCCTACTCTTCCTTTGCCTTTTCCTTTTCCTTTCAGGGGGTACAGTCCTACTCTTCCCTTTCCTTTACTTTTCTTCCACATGGCACCTATGTCCATTGGTGTTTGAGTGTCACTTTTCACAACATGACGCGCTTGGTAGTAGTCCAGTATCACATTCCTAACAGTGTCATACGTATCCAGTGTCCTCACGTTCAGTCTGAGGTGTTGTTGCAGTGATCCCGACGTCTTGTTCAACAGTGTTGCTACCAATATGCTGTCCGGCAGGGCAGTTCCAGTTTGACGTTCGTACCTGTTCTTCAGTTGTTCCCATTCAGTATAGTCCTGTTCAAAGTGTTCAGTCCTGAATCGAAACTCAAGCACCTTGGTCAAGAGACTAATGTTGTCGCAGTACTTGGAAGCGCAAATCTACGTGACGGCTTCCTCAGCAGCATCCATGACTCTCAGTACATGTTCTTTGAACATAGAAACGTAGCTTCTCACATGCCATGACCAGTCTTCCCATTTCTCCATAGTTCCATCGAAACTTTCAGGTAGTGGGAGTCGTGAGTTTCCACCTAGAGTTCCACTGTCTCCAAAGGTCGCCATTTCCTACTGTGAGTTGCAGTGTGGTACAGTTCTACTCTTCCACCGCCAGCAGTGTGGTACAGTTCTACTCTTCCACCGCCGAAGTCTTCAAGCACAGTAGGAGCCAGGTAGCTCCGCTACCATGCGAAGCGTCAAGTTCACTTTCAAGTCCACCAAACAGTGCAGTATCAGTCAGCTTCTAGTTTTCACTCACGCCAGTCTATCAGAAGCAGTACAACGACTCACAGCGTCAGTTGAGTTCCTAGTGTCTTGAACCAGGCTTGAGCCAAACCATAGTTTGGCAGTGCAGTAGATTCAGTGTACTGTGCAGTGGACTGCAGAGTGACAGTCATATCCAACACACACAAACAAACAAACAAACAAACACACACACACACACTTGCTCAGAACAGTCATTGCGAATTCTGATGTGAAATGCGTCGGACGTGCAAAAAAAAACTCCAATTAAATTCAACCTGACACGAAGAATGAAAAGTCCCTAATATATAAAAATATATAGGTAAAATCATGTAAAATCAGAGTAGACATTGACCGTATAAAACAACAGCGATAAGATATATGCCCCCCCCAGCTCCGACTTAAATGCGCCCAGGGGCGGGACTATATATATATATATATATTGCAGGTACAGGTTCATGCGTCCATGAACCCATCCACCACATCTTCCGTAGCTGCGTTGGGCAACATAGGAAGATGGGCTGTTGCCCCCCTGCACAATATAGAAGTTTTACATCTATACAGATGGTACACACGCCCCACCGCAGCAGGGCAGATGAAATGAAAATGAAAGTGAGATGACAATGAAAATGAAATGGAATTTACCTAACCAGAACGCGAAGAGGGGAACGCAAAAGAAGAGGGACAGAGAAAACACCAACACAACACACCTGGCCCGGAACGGGCAAACCCTGGAAAGGCAAGAAAAAGAAAAAGAAAAGCGGAGGCCGACGGACAACGGAACAAGTGCAGCGGAGGGGGGGGAGGACGGAAGCGCCTGAACCAACCTAACACGGCGAAAACCTACGCCTACCTTGGCACGCGAAGGACCAAACCTACCTGAAGAAGGGAGAACGCAAGAACACATGAGAAAGGGGACCCATGGGGGACTATAGTTGATGAAGATGCATCCAGGCTATCATGCAGTCCCCTCGTTAAGGCTCAATGGCCCAGATTCAAGTCAACCCCATCGACGGCAATCAGTATTCAGGTGAGTTACGTGCACAATTGAACCTCACCAACGACCAAAAAAGAAAAGACACCATACCTGCAAGCATGGCCTGTGCCTGAAATCCTCATGTTGCATTGTCTGTCAAACTCTCGAGCAGCAGTGAAACGGAAAAAGAAAGAAGTGTTGTCGCAGCTTCCAGCTATGCATTGAGCGGCCAATCTGAGAAATGCGAGGCCAGTCACCGCGGCAGGCTGTTTAACCAAAAAACGACTGACAGAGTGAAACCTGAAAGGTGAACGGCTGTTTCACTGTACTTAGACGAATTACTAATTCAAAAGTGTAAATTCAGACATCAGGTCGTTGCATCCACACTTTGCTTGGACAAGCATTCCCCGAAGGGTTCATGCCACCTTGACGAATCCAGCATGAATCACACACTTGCTCAGAACAGTCATTGCGAATTCTTATGTGAAATGCGTCGGACGTGCAAAAAACACTCCAATTAAACCTGACACGAAGAATGAAAAGTACCTAAAATATATAAATATATAGGTAAAATCACAGTAGACATTGAACGTATAAAACAACAGCGATAAGATATATGTCCCCCCCAGCTGCGACTTAAATGCGCCCAGGGGCGGGACTATATATATAAAATAATATATATAATATATATAATATATATAATATATATAATATATATAATATATATAATATATATAATATATATAATATATATAATATATATAATATATATAATATATATATAATATATATAATATATATATATATTATATAATATCTAAAAAAATATATATATAATATATAATAATAAATATATATATAATATAATATATATATATAATGTATTATACGGCGCTTGTATTATATATATAAATATATATATATTGCAGGTGCAGGTTCATGCGTCCATGAACCCATCCACCACATCTTCCGTAGCTGCGTTGGGCAACATAGGAAGATGGGCTGTTGCTCCCCTGCACAATATAGAAGTTTTACATCTATACAGATGGTACACGCACACACACACACACGCACGCACGCACGCACGCACGCACGCACCCACACACACACACCCACACCCACACCCACACCCACACCCAACGCACACGCACACCGCACACCGCACACCGCACACCACACACCGCACACCGCACACCACACACCCCACACCCCACACCACACACCAAGCCCCTCTGCACCGACCGGTGCACTCAAGACTCCCCATTGGGGTGCAGCCCACGTCTTTGCTGCTTTTCGTTTGGCGCCATTTTTCAATTTGCTGCTTGATTTCTTTTGGATTTTCAACGGGGTTTGCCTGGATCATTGACCATTTCTGCTGACATCACGGCGCGTTTCGTCATTGTGCTGCTTCTCTGCTGGTTTTGCGGTGGGAACGACAGAGCATTGGACATCCTGGATCACAGTTTTCTCAGTGGCAGGGTCATCCTTTTTGCATTTGGATATTCAGCCCCCTTGGAGCGGACCACTTCAGGTCTTCTCACACTGTACAGCTGGACCTTCTGCAGTGGGGTCAACAGACCACTGGTCACGTCCCAACACTGGAATAAATTTGGCGGGGTCATTTTCAGCATTTTTACATTGTACAACTGCAGCAGTGGGGTCATGCGGCCATTTGCAACTGTGCTCTATTCAATTTCCTGCGGCTGGATCACGATTGAACTGGCTACACTGAGCAACTGGACCTTCTGCAGTGGGGTCATTGAGTGGCTTTTGACACTGTACAACAAGACCTTCTGCAGTGGGGTCATTGCAAGGTTTTTGACACTGTACAACTGGACCTTCTGCAGTGGGGTCATTGCGTGGCTTTTGACACTGTACAACTGGACCTTCTGCAGTGGGGTCACTGCAAGATTTTTGACACTGTACAACTGGACCTTCTGCAGTGGGGTCATTGGGGCATTTGTAACGCTGGTCAGTCCTTTATTTCACGGGAGGATCCCTACTGGAGATTTCCCACTGTACAACAGGACCTTCTGCAGTGGGATCACCACAAGCTCCGGGACACTGTGCAACTGGACCTTCTGCAGTGAGGTCATTGAGATATTGCCGACTCCATCCCTTAAGGCTCCACTTGACTGGGCACTACAGGCGTTTACAATGTTCGACAGATCTTGTGGAAGCACCCACCTTGACAGGCAGCCACAGAGAAACTTGACCTCTTCTGAAATCACGGAAAGGGTGTCAATCTGGCACAATAACACGCATTCAGCAGTGATCAGCCTGGTCTTTTGCTGTGCATTCATTGCAATTGCACTCATTCAGATTTGCCGCAGTTTGGGTATCGTGGACCCTTTATTTGTCCCTGCACTGCTCAACTGGTTCCACAGTGAAGCGAACTCCTTTCATTTTAATTTCAATTCCTTTACATTGTACAAGTTGGCCTTCTGCAGTGGGGTCGCCAAGATTTTTACACTGTACAACAGGGCCTTCTGCAGTGGGGTCTCCATTACACGGTGCATCGAGACCTTCTGCCGTGGGGTCACCATTACAATCACACTGTGCAACTGGGCCTTCTGCAGTGGGGTCATTTTTGGTTTAGCTACACCGTACAACTGGACTTTCTGCGGTGGGGTCACAGCAATTTTTACGCTGTACAATTGGGTCTTCTGCGGTGGGGCCCACAGGCGTGCAACATCGCTGAACAATCAGATCTTCTGCGGTGGTGTCATTTCCATCTTGACACTGTGCAACTGGACTTTTTGCAGTGAAGTTGACAACCACAAGCTCTCGAAATTGTGCTGTGCAGCCATCGTGAACTTAGTGCTGACTGTCTGCAGGTCCCGGTGTCACACTGGTTTCAACTGGATTTTGACATTTTGTTTTTGCGAGGGGCAACGTCGAAAGCTCGGTTTGATTTTTCCCTGGCTAGATATTTGCTCTGTTGTGATCACAAGCCTTGGAAACACTTCGTAGCTGGCAATTGTTTTCATTATTTCACTGTGATTTTTCGGTGTGTGCAAACATTGGCTGAACCGACGTGGCTGACATCTCGTAGATTCTTGAGTGTTTTCTTTGCATCTACCTGGTGCAGGTCTGGTCCCAAGTCCAGACGTCCATTTGGCAAGATATTTCTAGGGCTTTGTTGCCTCAGCCTTTTCATGTTTTTTAGCCATTTGGATAGGGGTGAGGGTTGTGATCCGGTCATGAGGGTCACTGAAACATCGGCTGATTTGCACTGGATGCCTCACCTTCCCACCATTGCCGATGTCAACCAACATGACATGAGACCTCCAGTGAGCTCTGTCCCTCAGAGCCGGTCTCCCACCCAAGTGACAAAACGAAGCTTGAAACAGGCTCAGAAACGGGCATATCAGCATGGTGTAGCATGGTATAAGGGACGTTTGTATCGACCTGAGGATTTTCATTTCATGCCACCTCTTGATCCTGACCTTGAGCCACTTGCCGAACCAACCAGTGCTGCCAAAGCCCAATTGGCTAGCTGCAACAGGATTCATGGTAATAGGCGTAGGATCACTTGCATGCAATGGAACGTTGGAGGCCTCTCTCGACACAGACTGGACGAGTTGAAACATTGGCTCTCCACCCAACATGTTCAGGCCATCACCTTAATCGAGACCAGATGGACGTATACCGGGGAGTGGCTTGATCCAGAATGGATCCACATCCACTCTGGCCACCCTGCATCCAGAGGCAATGGGATCTTGACCTTGATCTCCCGCAGGCTCTGCTCAGATAGAGATATCCGTTGGCAGGAAGTGGACATTGGACGCTTAGTGCATATCAGGATACCCACCCCTGGTAGACCCCTTGATCTCATTTGTGGATACCAACATGTTGACACCCGGAGCACCACCTGCCTCCAGAAACGTGAAACATGGTGGAATAAACTTGACCAGGTGCTGCAGTGCATTCCACAAAGGAACTTAATGCTAGTGATGGCCGATTTCAACTGCAACGTTCCTGAATGTACCTCTTACTCGGGCAGTGAATGGTATCGATGGCAGAACACCCTGACCAAAGGATCCCAGCATCAAGATGCAGGGCGCCTGCTTTCCCTGCACCGCTACCATGGCCTTGTAATTTTGAACACATGGAATGCCCGTGATGTTCCCACAAATGTGCATGGCCAATGTTCCAACCGTATTGACTTTGCCTGTGCCAGAAAATCTCATGTGGATGGCATTGCAAAACAACCTAAATACCTTTGGCATGCACCCTTCATGGGAACCACCAAGTATGGGCACGTACCAATTTTGCACCAGATAGCCCTGCACTGGGCTCAGAAGCGATCCATGAAACAGACCGGCATCACGAAGCAGCAGAGCCAACAGGCCAAGATGGCCATGCAGGCAGCCACTGACCAATGGTCTGCCTATTTGCGAGCCTCTGCCGCTGTGATGCAATCCAGCCTGGACCGGGTTTTGACCTCAGATGTGCCTGCTGAATGCTCCAACCTGACCGAACTGCATGCTGCAGTGAACCATTGTTTTCATTCTTTTTTTCCACCCATGAGTGCCACACAGACCAAAACGCCATGGAAACAAACCACTGGCCTTGTACTCAATAACTGGCAACATCGATCCCTGATGCTCAACATTCGAACTTGCACTGGATCAGGTGTCTTTCGAGCGTGGTATCACCTGACACGCTTTGCAGCCCTCAAACGTGAGCACAGACGATTTGCCTCTCAGGTCAGACATGCCAATTTTTGTGATGTGGTTCAGGCTGCACAGGATGCAGCTCAAAAACATGACATGCACAAGATGTTTAGCCTGATTAATCGCCATGCTCCCAAAACTGCACGACGCAGGATTCAAATCAGAAATGCAGCGGGCCACATTGCCAGTCCCAGTGAAGAGCTTAAGATTCTCCAGGATTTTGTGCAAGACATTTGGGGAGGACCCACCCACATTCCTCTTCAATTTTCACAGGCTCCCGGAGTGCCCTTCACGATTTCTGAATTGGAAAGAGCCTTGAGCCGGATTCCTTTGAATCGTGCCGTAGCACACCCATTTGCCCCTGGCATAGCCTGGCGATTTCAAAGCACTGTCCTTGCACCCATTTTGCATAACATTTTGGACCGCTGGTGGAGTACCACACCACCATATATACCACAATGTTGAAAGGATGGATGGATGATATTGTTGGGCAAACCTCAAAAACCTCCATCATCACCATATAATTTGCGCCCCATAGCGCTCCAGGACCCCATCGGCAAAGCCTTGGTAGGACTTCTAATCCAGTATGCCAGTGCTGACGCCAGTATCCAAATGCAGCCATGGCCACTGTGGGCCTACTTGCCCCGGCGTTCGACGCTGGATGCAGTCTGTAGGGTGGCGCAGCATTGCATAGCTGTACAGCGGTTACGTGCCTCACAGAGACCGACACCACATGCCAGAGCTGCAAGGGGTTCCCACATACCGATTTTGTGGGGGTGTCTCCATCATGTTGGATTTGGAACGTGCATTTGATGGTGTTTCCAGGTTCAAGCTTTTTGGTCAACTCCATACCCTAGAGATCAGGTCCTCGGTTGTTCAACTGTTGACTTCACGGCACTGTGATACCCATTACCATTTTCAACATGGACATGACACTCATGCGCTGCCCACGGGCGCTGGACTGAGACAGGGTTGTAAGGCCGCCCCAGGCCTTTGGAATTTCTTGATTCTACTTTACTTGAAAAAAGTTGCCACCGTAATTCCCATGGCCTGGCTCCAGAGCCACCTCAACATTTACGCTGACGACTATCAAGTAGGTGGAACTTTTTATTCAACATGCGATTTGCAACTGTTGCTTCAAGCCTTTGGCATTTTGCTTGAGACCCTGCGTGAATTTTCATTGCGTATCAACACCAAGATATCTGTGGCACTTTTGGCCATTGGTGGAACGTCACACCGACCTGCCCGTGCCCAGTTTGTGGAAAAGAAAATGGATCAAGATCAGCTGCGCATTCCCCTCCCGACCGGGGAGATTGCCTTGATTCCGACTCAGCCACATGCCAAATACTTAGGTACTATCATGACATACAAAGATTGTGCCCAAGCCACGTTGAAGCATCGATTGAGTCTTGCACGAATTGCCCACCGCAGACTTGGACGGTGGTTCAGGGGTCGACATGCACTCAGCATCCATCATAGATTTCAACTCTGGCGCGCGACCGTTTTGCCAGTGCTCACATATGGACTGTTTGCCACAGGTATCTCTGACCATGGTATCAAACATTTGCAAAGGGCAATGTTCCCAATGCTCCGACAAGTCGCATGTGATCATGCATATCGCACAGGCCACACCAAACAACAAGCCTTTTCCAAATTTAATATCCCCACGCCGTTGCAGCAATTGCGCGCTGCTGCCAAGCAGCTTTTGCAGTCCATCACTCAACGCCGAGTGACCATGCCAGTGGAGGACATCACACTGCAATTGCCTTGGGACCACTTGGAAGACATAGTCATGCGTTTGGATGTGGCTCAGGAACTGAGTACCCAGCCTGTTGAGCCCACTTCGTCTTGTGTTGGACCCAGTGACCACACGGTGCACCAATGTGATCAGTGTGACTTTTTCACGCATGATGTATCAGTTTTCAGACGACATTGCACAATTGCACATGGCCATAGGACCACACGTACCCAATTTGCATTAGCCTCCAATTTTACCACACATGGTTTGCCTGAATGCAAGTTTTGTCACCATTCCTTTTCCACATGGCGCAGTTTCCAACAGCACATAGATCGTGGGTGTCAGGCTCTCTATACTGGACCTTGCGCTGCTGAGACCTACACACCCCAAGGGGCATCAATCTACATGGCAGGCACTTTGCGTGCAGCCGGTGAAATAGCAGTGCGCGGCCCAGTCATGTTGCCTGAAGCTGAACTCAGCAACCTCAGAAATGCCTCGTTTGGTCCTGCGCTTTGTGACATTGTTGACAAACGTGACTGGCACAAACTGGCTGACGAAACCGCGGCATGCCAGTATATGGCCACCAGATGCATTCTCTGTGGACTTCAGTTCAATAGGGTTCAGGATCTCAATGCCCATTTTCGACAGATGCATGGACCATACTGGGAAGGGGTTCCGCAACGAGCCACTTTGATGTCCAACACATGGGCAACGGAAAGACCATGTCAATTTTGTGGAGCGCTCTTCAAAGCACATCTTTGTCCTGTTTGGGTTCAGGTCACGGTCCTATTCCTATTTGGTGTGGGCCCCTCCACTGATGCTGAAGCCTCCAATGAGGACACTCCACGGCCGTTTCGCTGTGAGATTTGCTTGGAAAGTTTTGCAGACGTGGCCATCTTGACCGACCACATGCGCTCTGCCCATCATTTGCAGGGCCTGAGCTTCAACTTGGCCAGGGACAGTGTTGCAGGAGAGCCAGCATGTGCACACTGTGGAACATTGTACGACTGCATGGCCAGCCTCCGTTCTCACATAGTGCAAGGACGATGCAGTTCCTTCAGTCCAGATGCAATTGCAGAAAGCCTTCCTGTAGACGAGTCCTGGCTCACAGCTTGCACTGGTGGACAAATGATGGGACTATTGAGAGACTCTCGACAGAGAATGCGTCTCTCTCTGCACTGTCAACTTTGTGGTGGCCGTTACTCATGGTCATCCGGCCTTTCCAACCATCTCCAGGGGTCTCACTCCAGATTATGGCGCCTGTCTCAACAACTGACTTTGGTCTTGGTTCAGCTGATTTGCTCCAGCGGCAACTGTGTATGCAATCCCTCTCTGCATGTCAACCGACTTGGACACATCTGCCAGCCGTTGAGGCAGCTCAGTATGCTGTACCACATGATGGAGGACAAGATCTTTGCACCATTCCAAGCCAGTGAGGACAGCCTTGCCAGACTGTTGAACAAAGATTTGCCACGACCTTTCCGTTTTCTCCTTGAACAGATTGTGACATATCGGTGCTTTGAGAAGCCGTGGCAGGATCCAACCTGTGTGCAAGCATTGCATCAGCGGTGCATCTTTTGTGGACAAGAACCTGATGCCTCTGCCATGTGCCAACATTTACGTGAGGCGCATCCATGCAGCCACTTAGCATTTTCTTTCTACATGAGTACACTTGCACCCATGATGCTGGCTCAACAAACGGTGGACCATCAATGCGATGCTTGCAATCAGATCTACAATTTGCCTGCCACTGGCGAGCTGTCACCTGACCCTGCCCGACAGCAATTGGCTCAATCACACCTGCTGCGCAACTGCCCTAATTCCTGCAGGTGGTGCTGCTCTTGACCGGCCTGCTACATGATGGGCGACTCTGTGACGACAACTCAGGATCTACTGGCCCAACATCAAATTCTGGAAACGTTCAAGGGCTTGGCACCACTCTTGGGACAGGTGACGTTGACACCAAACCCAAGAGAGCCAAAACGCTCCAAAACCCAGCATGTGCTGCCGCCGCAGCAGGATGCGCCAATGCAGCAAGCGGCAACGCACCCACAGCCGCAGCTGATGGACTTGGTGAAACAGCTCTCCCTGCTCGTGTTGCGACACGAAAGAGAGTTGAACATGTGCCGCCGCACGGACAGCTTCGTGCTTTTTTTCAACAAAGATCCAAAAGGCGGCCTGTCGAGCATCCTGACGGCCACACAGAAATGGCAGGAACAGCGCAAGACCACCCAGCTCCCTCTGACGACGCTGAGACAGCACCTGACACAGAACCTCTTCACCGATCTGTTGACCAGAGTGACCAAGCTGTCGGAGACCAAGCCAGAGGATCAGCTCTTTCAAGCATCGATTCAGACCAACCTGATCGACGAGAAAGGGAATTGGGCGTTCCTGGAATGGGACCACAATGCTCAGAGCCTGGTGAAAAGCAGCAAGAAGCCCATCAGCATGAACCAGATGTTACAGTTTTGCCAGGAACTAGTGGAAGTGTTTCGCAGCCCGGACTTGGTAGTATGCTTCCAGTCCCTGCAGAGCAGTGCGAATGCAACAGTCAGTCCTCGGCGGCTCCAACTGAATCCCCGGGCAGATCGAGAGTGGGAATTGCTGGAGACGCTGTGCCGCAGCAGTGTATGGACGCAGCTCCAAAGCGGTTTGGCCAATGCCATCCAACAATCCTTGGGACACAGACCTCAGAAGGGCAATGGGAAGGGGAAGCACAAGCAGAACAACCAGAATCAGGCAGCACCCTGATGCCGACCCTTTCGATCCTGATGCATGTCCTGAGCCACTTGTGCCTGAGAAATGATCTGAATTGGTGTTACGCCAATAGCACCATCTTCTGTCTTCTCTGGACTTTCATGACGATGCAGTGTGATTTTTCAGCTTTAGGGGGAGGGATTTGCAGAGATGATTCAATTTTTGCCTTGTCGCAACCTACAACTGGTTGCACTCGCTGATTTGGCATGGTTCAATCGTATTTTGCAAAATTGGGGTTCTTTCAGAGGTTTGCAGCGTGACAGCCAGCAGGATTCATCTGAATTTACTGCTGCAGCACTCACATGGCTGCGTGCCCCAGCGGTCAACATGACTTGGGAGCGACGGTTGGTTCATGTGCATGATCATGGAGGTAAGTGCCTCCCAATCACCATTTCTTTTCCTGCCTCCCATGCACATCTTCCTGAAACACAATATACACTGACTGCTCTGGTGACACGTTGGATGCAGGCAGATGGCATGGTGGCCTCCCTACGCCAGGCCCCAGAGTGCGTGTGCTTGCATTTGGATCGATACTTTGAGACTGAGGGAGGTGAGATTCAAAAAAGTCATTGTTTGCTGGACATGGAAGCCGGATGTGACTTGCCAATTTCCACTGGCCCTGGATTGCAACGTGAGTCTGTCAGCTATGCATCTTGGAGCAGATCAGCAAGGTCATTTTCAGGCGATTCTCAAGACACGACCTGCGGTTTTGCAGGATGGACATCCTATGCACTGGCTGATCACCAATGACGGTCAAAGGGCTCAACCAACGTGGATGGCACCAGACTGGTTCAGAAGCTGTGCGAATGTTTTCTGGCTTTTGCGTGCCGATTGTGTGCACCTGCACACATCTGGGCTGTGCTTTGGTTTGTGCTTTTGTGCCTCTGGTTTTTGGGCCTGTTTTTGCTGGTATTTTCCCAGCTTCATGATCAGAAGCTTCCCACACTTGGGAACATCATGTTTGCACCTAACTCGCTCCCAGGAGTCAGAGAAAGAGAGAGAAAGAGAGAGAGAAGGAGAGGAGACCTCAACCACCTTTTGGTCCATCAGTGGATTCGCTCTGCCATCCGTGAGTTCAAAGTCATGCTTGGTATTTGTGTTGTGTTTCTATTCCCACGTCCCCCCTCATGCCATATCATTCCCCTACAAAATGACAGGCTTCCTTCCAAGGGTATGTTCTTTTTGAATACTGCATTTGTTGGCAGGCAGTTGGATTTCTTAAGCCTTCCACCGTGTAAAAAAACGATATGGGAAAATACGATGGCCAGACATGCTTGGCCATCGTATTTTCCCATGTTGGTGTTCTTCTGAATTTTTCACATTGTTTCTGAAAACCTGTAATTTTCAGATTTTTTCTGATTTTTTTGATTTTTTCTGAAAATCTGTTTTTTTCAGATTTTTTCTGAAAATCTGAAATTTTCAGATTTTTCTGATGTTTTCAGATTTTTCCTTAATTTATATTATATATATATATATATTTAATTAAAATCTGAATTTGTTCAGGTGTTTTCTGATTTTTTCAGATTTTTTTTTAGAAATTCTGAAATTTTCAGATTTTTTCTGCATGTCAGAAAAAAAATTTGTTTTTTTTTCAGATTTTTTCCAGATTTTGTTCTTTTTGTTCTTTTGTTTTTTTCTTGGTTTTTTGCTTTTTGTTTTCTGGTTCATGATGGTTTGATGAAGGGATTCTTTGCTCATTTTATTATGTGCTTTGGGCCTGTGGTTCCATTAGCAAACAATGTAAACAACTATGGCAAAATGCAGGTGCCACTGGAAATGTAATTTCTCAAAAACTGTGTTGAACACATGCAAAAACATAGGCAGCCAATGCATGTGTGGAACTGATTTTGATAATGACATTCTTGGCTCAAACCCTTGGGTATGCACATGTTCAAACATTTCGAAAGACAAGTGCATGTCTCTTATAAAATGGTAGAGCCCGGTAGAGCATCCCATTGAAGTAGGCATGTCTTGGTCTACTTCTATGACCAAAATGAACCCTCTTGCACATGCAATGCCCTTTTCACAAAATATTTTCTTAAATGGAGAACACATGGTACATGTAAGCACGTCAGATATGTCCGTCGCAATTGCACATCACTTTTGACTGCATAATGTGATATTTTCCAAGACTACAAACCATATTTTGGGAATAACACCCTTTGGTGTAGGCAGCCCCCCTCTTGAAAAATATTGTAATTTGAAGAATGTGCATCTTTAAATTTTAAGTGAATCAACTATTTTTTGTACATATGGTAGTGCTCACAGTTTCAAACATATTGCACTTTTGTGAAAGGGATGCTCTATGTCAATAATGTTGCATATACATGCAGAAATATTGACTCTTCTGAAAGGAGGGTTAGACATCTGGAAATGCACATTTCACTCCTTCAAAGGGCATGGTGTAACTGTTCAATGAATACTTCATATTTTGTTTGGATATTGTCCCTGCAAAAAGACCCAAAAGGAAGGTTGCTCTTATTCAGAAGGATATGTTTGTTTTGAATACTGCATTTGTTGGCAGGCTTTTTCATGTTGTAATTATGTTGAAGTCATCTACCATATTATGCAGAAATTGTGTTTTGTTGAGGGGACACTGTAGTAGCATTTATCCAAGGTAGAGTGAACACCTGGACACTTCTTCAAGCAATGCATGCTCTCTAGTGGACATGAGCACAGCTTTATCTGTAGCTTAAGCTTTAATGTGGTTTTGCAGTTTTGAAGAAACAAAAAGCAGAAGGGTATGTTTGTTTTGAATACTGCATTTGTTGGCAGGCATGAGGTTGTTGTAATTATATTCAAGTCATCTAGCATATTCTGGAGAAATTGTGTTTTGTTGAAAGGACACTGTAGTAGCATTTATCTAAGGTAGAGTGAACACCTGGACACTTCTTCAACCTATATATGCTCTCTAGTGGACATGAACGCAGCTTTATCTGTAGTTTAAGCTTTAATGTGATTACAAAAAAACAATAAACAGAAGGGTATGTTTGTGTTGAATACTGCATTTGTTGGCAGGCATGGGGATGTTGTAACTATGCTGAAGTCATCTAGCATATTCTGCAGAAATTGTGGCTTGTTGAAGGGACCCTGTTGTGGCATTTATCTAAGGTAGAGTGAGCACCTGGACACTTCTTCAAGCAATATATGCTCTCTGGTGGACATGAACATAGCTTCATCTGCGGTTTCAGCTTTAATGTGATTATAGTTTTGGAAAAAACAATAAAACCATGCACTCCCACATTGTCTTGCTCTTTTTTTTGTAATTGTTGGTGTTTTTCTCTATTGTTTTTTAATGTCAATATTTTCCTTTTGAAAAGATGAAACATATTTCTTTGCTAAATGCAATTTGTTATTTCAAAAATATATGTGTCATGACATTTGATTTTTTCTCCTCTTAACTAAATTGTTCAATTTGTTTTTGATGTTTGTTGTAAGATACTTCTAAATAGATATTAGCTTGAAAAGTAATTTCAAAACAAATGTTGTTGTTTCAAAACGTGTATTAAACATTGATTTTTATGTATTACTATACTTATTTATTTCAAATTTGTATTTGCATGTTTTTGAGAAATACTATGACAACTTTAGTTTTCAGGTTGGCACATGAAATATTGAATATTTTTTCATTAGCATCATTTTATAATTATGTTTTTCGTTTCAAAACATAGTTGTTAAATACGATTTCAGTATCTTTTCACAGAAATACAAACAAAGAAATAAAAAAAATATGAGCACGCTTATTTTTTGAAAGTTGTCTTGAACTGATGAAATGTCCATGATTGGAAATCTAAGTAAAATGTATTGAAAAAATATTTTGGCTTATGTTGATTATGCTAAAGTTAGACAACTTTAGTAAATATCATAAATAACATACTCCAACTTAATCATTTTAAAATCGGATGATAAGTTTCATAACTTTAAGATACAGGTTATGGAGTTACGATTGTATCTTAGCTGAGTTGTGAGCCTAGTTTTAACTAGATAAACCTAGGTTTTAAAATGTTTTACAAGGGGGCTCTCGAAGTAGTAACTTGTTGCAGTTCTGTTTATCAAAAAGTGCTGAAAAGGCGCTTTTGCAGCATGTT